AATAATTTTGAAAATTTTTTTAAAGATTATCCCACACTTTATACTTTAATTAAAAGATTGTTTTTTATATATAGACTTTAATAATATTCTCAATGAGGCCACAATTGTTGTTAATATGTAGTTCATACGGTATTTCTTGTAAGTTCAGGTACGAATTTGAATTACACTATATGTTTATAAACATACTAAGGCCGCTGAAGTTTTCCCTCTGACTATAAAGTAAAATAATTTAAATGAGAATGTTTTGTAAAAAATTTTATCTTGCGCATTTTTCTTTTTACACCATGCTTTCCAATACTTAGCTTCATTTCATATTCATTAGCAAAAAATTTTATTTGTGGAAGAAAGCTCAGCCTAAAAACAACATGCTTGCTGCGAGCTCCAAGATGGATCATTGTATATTATATTTTTTTGAAAAGGCCAGAGTTCTTCATTTTCCTGTGCAGCAGGCGATACTTAGGTGTGTTAAAAAATTCCGGTTTAACCCGAACTGACAGACCGGAACCGGAACTTTACAAACAAGCCTGAACCAAAACAAAAAATCCCGGAATTCCGGCCTACCGGAAACGGAACTTCTTGCGAAACACTAAAACTTACTAATCACCATATTTTAAATATATGTAAATACAAAACAATTCCCCGAAATATTTTATACAAAAGATTAAATAATTAAAATTTACAAAAGAACGAAAATTTGAAAGAGAAAATAGATCTTAAATACATATGTAGTTAGAAATAAATAAAAGTTTTTTGGGGAATTTTTTGGATTTTTATGGATTTTTTGTTTTTTTTTTGTATTTTTAGCTTTAATTTTGTTCGTTTTTTGGGATTTTAAATTTTATGATTTTTTTTATTTTTTTCATTTTGAGGATTTTTTTGGATTTAAATTTTTAAAGTTTTTTTGGATTTTTTAAATTTTTATACTCAACTGAGTAAAATTAGTAATAACTAGGGTTGTCGGTTTTTAGAAAATATCGTGTAGACACGATTCCTTGCCCACGCTTCCGCGTCAGTTCTCAAAATTAGTTTTTCTGGCATTTTTCACTAGAATCATCAGTATAAATACAGTTAATTGCAAACTTATCTAAAAATCGATTTAATCAATGAGACTACACATGTTAATACACATGTTAATCAAATCGAACCTTTTTTTGTAATTAATATTTTAATTTTAAAATCTTGAAAAAAATTTTTCTTGAAATCTTAACTCTAAACCTGAAAAAACATACATGGCGCAGAAACGTGGACGCGAATCATACCCACCGAGAAACTCGGAACGAACTGATAAATTTTGTGGTAGATTATTGTCAATAAATTTAGTTTACACTAAATAGATTGATCGACGATGGCATTTCTGAAGATAAGAAGCCAGTAATTATCATTTTATGACAGATAGATTTTGTAATTATGACAAACAGATTTCAATTAAATTTTGAAAATTGTAGAATTCCGTAACGAAAAACCCCTTAAGGTCAACTGAATTAAATACAAAACCTTAAACAGTATTGGCTAAAAATTTTGGATATCCGAAATCGAACAGAGCGATCGGTTTGGTTCCGAGCTGACAACCCTAGAAAAAATAAATTTAAATGTAAAATAAATAGTTATATTTAAAGAATTTTTTACTAATCATCTTTAATATATACTGTCGCTTTTTTCCTAAGACCAAGTGGTTCTAATTTTTTATCTAACTTTTTAAAGTATGGATGCGAACTAGTTTCCAGATGAGCACGACATGATGGACATTTGTCATGGTTTGCACCTCTGCCCGCAATATACCATTTTACCGTACATTTTTTATGGTAGAAGTGGGTACATTTAGTCATTTGAATATCATCATCTTCGTTATAATTTTCATGACATATCGGACATTTTTCTTGATTTTTTGCTACAGCTTCGTTAAATACGATTATTCTCTTTGCTTTCTGCAACGAAAATAAATGATTAACTATTTAAGGAGAAGGAATCTTTTTTTTAATGAATTCTATTTACTAAATTATGATTTTATACATTCCAATAAAATGACTACATTGATAAATACAGTCGGACCTTGCATTTATAGGGCTTGCCCGAGCTTCTGATATAAAATTTAGATAAGTTAAAGTAAAGGAATAAAGTTGATGAGGGTCTGTTGAAGGCATTTAACTAATACTACATTCTCGTTGCGGAACTTGATATCCGGATTTATCTACCAATCCGAAATCGAACAGACCGATCGGTCTGTTCAACATTAATAAGCTTGCTTTAATCTAGAGCTTGCTTTAAAATTTCTAGAGAAATTTTAACATACCAAAAACTATTAAAATTACCTCAGTTTTCTCGGGAATTTCATTCAAAATTTTGTCTCCTCCCTCTTTACAGTACAGGCGAATTTCAGCACGGATTTCTTCATCACTAGCAATTTTGTTTATTGTCTTTATTATTTGCCTATTTGATACTCTTTTTTTCTTTAATAATCTTTCTAGAAGTTGCTTATTCTAAAATATAATTTAAATTATTATTTGATTTTCTTTATGGCCCTCTTTTAACATAGCCTTCCTTCGCAAACTTATGGTATTTTATAAAAAATTCAATGGAAATCCTTTATAGGGAACTAATTAAAGAAGTTAACAAGTAATTAATTACGGTTAAATTGCTAAATCTATGTACATAAAATATGCATCAAATATTTTACCCGGCACTAAACGAATTTTCCTTCTATTCTGATATCAATGTCAGTCCTTTAACCTAAAATTTCGTTAAATTTAACCTGGTTGATAATTGTTGAAGAATATCCTGGATTATTTGTAATGTCATTAATTAGAACAATACAATTCTTATAATCACTGAAATCAGCAACATCTTTAAGCACTTCTTCAACTAAAGGGATTGTATTTTGCGTTTCATTTACTGAGCTTGAAGATCCAGCACTACTTTCTCCAACAACACTAGATCCAACTCCACGAGATCCGACGCCCCTTGTGGTTGAAGGTTTGCCTTTTCCAGCACGCCTTGAACCATTTGCGTTTGAATGTAAAATTTGATTAAATATTAAAAGTAGAAAAATATAGAATGATTTTGACATTATGAGTGATACGAAAATTCTATTTCAAAATTTCCACTGAAATTAAAAAAATAAATTTTAATTTATAGAAACGACGGGGAGTTGTTATGTTTGAGATTGTTTTATTTAATGTTGTTTGCGTACCTGCAAAAGGAAAACAATACTTCCCTTTTGCTGGATTTTTAGGACAAATATATTTAGGCAACGGTTTCGGAACCGGGTTCCAAACCGTTTCCATGCATTTAATATAAGTATTTAATAAAATTAATATTTAATATGATTTAATGAAATAATCAACAGGATTAATGATAACGTTAGGTGCGTTCCGACCACCTCTATTTAAAGCTTATTGTCTACCTATGAATTTTAGGCAAATTAACGATTGCTTCTAAAAAAATTTCTAAACAAAAATGAATAAAAATAAGTATTTAAAAACCAAAGTGAATAAAAATGTAGAAAATCATTGACTATAAATAAACCCAAAAATTTTTTAAAAGCTTATCACATGAATGTTGGTATCCAATAGGCAAGTAACTAATTTTAATAAATTTTGAAAGAATGCCCTTTTCCGATTCTTGCATTATTCGATAAAATTATTTGTGTTTAAAATTTTTAAAATTTGGCCAAAAAATATTTCTTAACCGATATATTGTATTTTGTGATAAATAATATATATTTCATAATACATTGCCTAACAATAAAAAATTTACCAATGCGTACGAAAAACGTGTTTTTGTGTTAAACGCATTCTAAATTTTTTAAATTGCAATATCTTACACAAAAATTTTTCTAAACTTCAATTAGGGTTGAACAAACTGGATATCAACAGGTAATCCCGGTTTTCGGTTAATCTGTCTTTCAAAAATCCAGTTTTAAAAATTATTAAACATAAATAACAATTCGAAGATTTTTGTTTATCCTTAAAATCAAAAATTTTTGCAATCGACTCTAATAAAGTTAGAAATCCGGCTTCCGGTCTTCCAAAATTTCAAAAAATTGCAAATAAATTTGGCTTTAGCGCTTAAGTTTCCGTTTTTAATTTTCGTCTGCGACGCTAAATACACAAAAATGGGAAGAATCTAGATAGAAATTAAATAAATGGAATTAAATAAAAGTTTTTTGAGACTTTTTTGAGTTTTTATTTTTTATATTTTTTTAAATTTTGAAATAATGCACTTCATACAATATCGTTTATCGGTAAATTATTTTTATTTAAAATATTTTAAAATTTCGCAAAAATATTTCCTAATTCACGGCTTCGCAAATATGTGAATAACACGTGTTTTGACAAAGACACGTGTTTCACACACATTGCACTTTGTATTTTGTATTTAGAGGCCATGAATTGGGAAATATTTTGCTAAATTTTAAAATATTTTAAATAAAAATAATTTTATCGAATAAAGGATATTGTATAAAGTGCATTCTTTCAAAATTTAAAAAAAATTAGCGATTCGCCTGTAAAATGATAGCCTCACATGATAAACGCACCTATTTCAAAAAATTTTTTATGCTTATATATTCTAATAATTTTCTTAATTTTTATTCACTTTATTTTTAATTAAATTTATTCGCTACAATTAGAGGCAATTAGTTTTACGGCGATAGTGAACATTAAAAAACTTTAATAGGTTTTACTCGTTTATAGGCGTTACCCTACTATCCTTTGATGTTCTCTTTTGGATATTGCACCGGTCTTTATGTGATTATTTTTCAAACCCCCAAAAAAGTCAAGACCAAGACTTCACCCAAAGACCAAATCAAAACCCAGGAAACGTCTTGGAATCAAGACTTTAGACCAAGAGACTAGGACGTCTCAGAAGGTCACGTTGCCTGACTACTTTTTTAAGGAAAATAATAAACAGTAAACAATTGCAAGGATGATTCACCTAGCAGCATTTAAAACGCTTAGGCGGAGTTAAACGATCTAAAATGGAAAACAGAAAGCATTAGTAGATTCCCCGTAGCTCAGTGGCAGAGCTCGTGTATTTGGTGAGCGAAATCGCCTAGCAACTACAAGCAGGTGGTCGCAGGTTCGAATCCTGCCCGGTCTCAATCAGTTTTAGTAAACAGTAAATGCCAGTCTTAACATCCAGTTTATGTCATCCAATTTTATAGTGTTGCCTATGAATAATAGTCTTATTCATCATTAAAATTAACATTTTTTAAATTTTAGTTAAAATCAGAAGTGAATTTGAATCATCCAATAATGTCAAAATCAATCAAATTTCTTCTCTTTTTAGCATTGATAGTTCAAATGGTGGAGGACGTGGTGGACGTAGAATCCGTGGTAGACCTTCAAGTTCAAGATATAACGGATCTCATGATGTTGGATCTTCAAGTACTGTAAATCAGTCTCAAGACCCAAAACAAATAGTTGAAGAAGTAATCGCTAAATATAGCACGACACCTTTAGATGTATTCAATATGTTTAATAACTGCTTCCATCTAACTAAACACGTTAGTGAACATCCGGAAAATTATTCTGCTATTAATGAGGTTTAATTTTACAAAATTTTTATTTATTAAGTCTTAAAGTTGTGTTCAGAAATGGGGGAAAACCTTTTGTCTTCCCATCACTTCTTTTTAGATTGCATTTTTTATAAATAGATACCAAGAGTATGTTCAAGGGGAAGCAATACTGTAAAAATGTAATTTACATTACAGTAATATTAAGAAAAAGAAATAATAATTTAAATTATTTTAGAATAAGAAATTGTTTGAAAAATTATTAAAGCAAAAAGGATTGTCAAAAACAATAAAATTGGCAATTAATCAAATGCTTAGCAACAATATGGCAAAAATTACTGATATTTTCAATTACTGTAAGGTGGAAACGGATAAAATTATGGAAGAAATTAATCGCAATCGCAATGTAAGCTTGATAATTTTTCTCAAGCTAAATTTCAAAGTATAAATAAAAATTTCGATTAAAGTTGAGGGGTTATAATAACTTTGCAAAATTTAGAGGAATAAAAATTATGGTTTTGAGTAGAGTACGTCGAGTACCGAGTAATTGGGAAAAACCGAGTTCGAGTTTTATAAAAAGTACTTTAAAATAATTTTAATAAAAACAATACTCTTATTAAAAACTATTCATCATTGGTGCTGGATATTTGGCATTTGTTGCCAATAATGCGGCGGATTATCATCCAAATCCCAATTATTTTCAGTAATCAGTATATATCCCTCTTAATCTGCAAAATTCCATGATACGCACACGATCTATGTTGACTCCGGGCGCCGGGTGGAAAATCAATGGATAATATTATTTCTGGGGATTTGTGTAGATCAAGGGGATAACGAGTAATAACAGAAATGATTGGATATCAAGAGATTAAGCAGGATTTGTGCCGATTATAGTGATATATGGGTGTATTAGAAGCAAAATCTGGGAAATTTGAGGGTTAATTGTGATATCCTCAGATTGGGTCAAAGGGTGATGTCTATTATTTCTCTCTTTTTGTGCCCCTGGTGTAAATTTTGGGAATTTCTGATGGCCATGTGTTTTGACCAAGTTTCGGAAATTCCCTTGAAATATCCGTATATCAATAAAATCCACCGAACTTCATTTAAATCCTCCGGTAAAAGTCCGAATTTTGGAATTTTGAGAATTCAATAAGACCGATCGAGTTCATTATTTTGTAAAAATCATGTAAAAGGTTTGATACATATAAAATTAATACTTATTAATTTTATATAAGTAAAATTTAAAAATTAAAGAAAGGTTTTTATTGACTTGATAAATTTAATATTAAAATAAGATTATCAAATTATTAAAACTTAATCTTGATATAGAAAGATTGGAAGAGCATTGTATTTAGCGATGCTCTAACAAAGGATCATGTCCAATCTGTCATGAAGAATATGAAGAAGGTGAGAAGATTGAAATGACTGATTGTAAAGATGAAAAAGACCCCAACAAACACTACAACCACTTTTTCCATCAGGATTGTATAGTAGATTGGTTTAAAAAGGGCAGTCAAAACAAAGATAAATGTCCAACATGTCGTGCTGAACTGGAAATTATTATGCATCCAGAGTTCAAAAAATTAAATGAGAAATACAGTGCGTCCGTAAATTATACGACCACTTGCATTTTCTATCATATCTTATTTTTGACATGATATTTTCGCTTAATTTCTTTTTTATAATAATTAATTATGTATTCAGGACGTCTCTGCAAAATTTCATTTAATTATTCCCAACCATCCCTCAGAAAATTAAATTTAATTAAAAGTAGTCGTTTTTCAAGCGTCCGTAAATTATACGACCACCTTGGATAATCATGTTTCGGATAGTAGGAAAAATCCACAAAAATTCTGGTAAACATATCCATTGATAATAATATAAAATACAAAAGAAACAAAGTTTTTTTATAACTCCATCATCGAGATCTCGAAACCCGAAAATCAACGGAAAATCGGGGTATAAGTTTTTAAAAAAATTTTTGGACCCCTTATAGCTTATATTAAATTTTGATTTTATACTATTCTGAAAGCCCTTTAAATTTGCTATAAGAAATCCTTATTGTTAATAAATCGAAAAATTTTACTTGGGAGATATTGAGGGTTAAATTCAATTGACATGAAAATCATTAAATCTACCCCATGAAATGCCCTTTCTTAGCAACTTAGAAATTTAATGAAGTACAACATAATGAAAAAAATTTTCTGTAACATAAAAATTGCAGATATTATAGCAAATCTAAAGGGCTTTCAGAAAAGTATAAAATCAAAATTTAATATAAGCTATAAGGGGTCGAAAAAATTTTTTAAAGACATTTACCACGGTTTTCCGTTGATTTTCGGGCTTCGGGATCTCGATGATGGAGTTATAATAAAACTCCGTTTCTTTTGTATTTTACGTTAATATTAATAGATATGTTTACCAGAATTTTTGTGGATTTTTCCTACTATCCGAAACATGATTATCCAAGGTGGTCGTATAATTTACGGACGCTTGAAAAACGACTACTTTTAATTAAATTTAATTTTCTGAGGGATGGTTGTGAATAATTAAATGAAATTTTGCCTAGGAATTCTGAATACATAAATGATTAATATAAAAAAGAAATGAAGCGAAAATGTCATGTTAAAGATAAGATATGACAAAAAATACAAGTGGTCGTATAATTTACGGACGCACTGTATGCTACAGTTGCCTTAGGTTTAAAAATGAAACCAATTAGCTCAGACTGATCGTCAGATGATTGATTAGTCACAAAAAATCGGTCTTTGTCCAGATTATTCGTCCAATCGTACATTTACACGCTATACCTCCAATCAGATTGGTTTGTTTTATCACATTCAAATCACCTTGGTTTGTGTACACTCCGCCACATAATTATATGAACACCCCTAAATTTCCACTTTCTGACGTATTTGGAAAGCAAATACCGATTTTTAACCTTAATATATTTTAGAAGTCGGCTAAAATCGCCTTAGAAAAAAGAAAATCTCTAAATGGTTTTAGGTCGAATTTTTTTTAGAAAATTTTCAATTTTTCGACCGCCACATAATTATATGAACACTTTGGGTTTTCGTATTTCTAAAGGTAGGAAAAATCTAGAGAAATTTCAATAAACTTATTTATAGATACTAATGAAAAATAGAATAGAACTAGGCCTATATCTCCTTCCAGTTTCGAGATCTTGATACCCGAAAGTCAACGTAAAATAGGGGTAATCAGCTTCTAAAAATTTTTTCGACCCCTCATAGATTATTTTAAATTTTTATTTTAGGCTTATCTGAAAGCCCTTGAAATTTGCTACAAGGTATCATTTATCTCATTTTCAAGAAAAAAATATTTCGGCATATTATTAACTGTCAAATCTCTCAGTAACAAAAAACGACTAATTATCCCGTAAAATGCCTTATAAGATCGCTACAGAAAAATAAGGATAAATATCTCTTATATTTATTTTTTCTGAAAAATACTATTTTTAGCATCTTATAGCAAATTTAAAGGGCTTTCAGATAAGCCTAAAATAAAAATATAAAATAAACCAGAAGGGGTCGAAAAATTTTTTAGAAGCTGCTTACCCATGTTTTACGTTGATTTTCGGGGTTCGAGATCTCGACACTTAAAACAGATATGGGCTTAGTTCTTTTTTATCTATGATTAGTATCGATAATTAAGCTTATTGGAATTTTTATAAATTTTTCCTACCCTTAGAAATACGAAAATCCGAAGTGTTCATATAATTATGTGGCGGTCGAAAAATTAAAAATTTCTAAAAAAAATTTTACCTTTGAACGATTTTCAGATTTTCTTTTTTCTAGGACGATTTTAGCGATTTCTAAAATATATCAAGATTTACAAAATAATTCGGCATATAAATACGGTAAAAAAGTGGTATTTAGGGGTGTTCATATAATTATGTGGCTGAGTTTATGTGCATGCGCCCAATCAATTTTTATGCGTTCAATCATTGCGATAATTAAACGATTCTGCGTGGTAAAAACTGTGTTCCCGTTATTGTTTTTAGTTCTCATTCTTTCCCCGCATAATATCTTCCATTCCGTCATTATATGTTTAAAAAATTCCGTTTTTCACCCAAAAATGCGAACAGCAAAAGAGAAGAGTTCAAAGAAGGCGAAAATCGCCAAAAGAAGAAACTCGTACACCCCTGTAACATAACTTTAAATGATTGAAGCCTTCTATTCCCATATGCAGATGATTTTTGACATATATTTCTACGTATAATTTGTTTGGACGTATAAACTTGCGCGTAATCTGGACAAGAGCCAAAAATTCTTTATTAGTATTTATTTTTTATTTTAATTTCCTATTTAATGTTTACTCATTTGAGTAAAAATATCTAAAAATTCTGAAAAACCCAAAAAACCCTAAAAATGAAAATACAAAAAAATATCAAAAATTAAAAATCAAAAAAAAAAACAAAAATTTAAAAAACTAAAAAAATAATCCAAAAAAATTCACAAAAACTTTTATTTAAAATTTAAAATTTTTTAATTTTTTTTTAAATTTTCTATTTTTCTTTCTATTTTCATGCTTTTTTAAATTTTACATATTTAATCTTTTGTATAAA